GGGCCGGCAGTGCCTTGGCAGAGACTGGCAACCATAGGACAGAGAGCTCAGGAGACCCAGAGACCCAATCCAACAGGCTCACTTCATTCTCTCCTTCTAGAGAGTTCCTGGAAAGAACCCAGGGGCTCTGAGTCCCTGCTTTTCACAGTGTGAGGGGCTAGGACCCTTATTGCCATCCCAGCAGGACACACACACACGGCTTTTCCAGTATGCACAGTGGGAGGAGAGAGCAGAGAAGCTCATTTCTTACAAAGGTGGAGGCAATGCCCGCTCGTATATCAGTGAGGTGCTGATGGCACTCGGGTCCCCCAGCAGCGGAGCGCTGTGGTGGGGGTCAGGGAAAGGGCTTGTCTACTTCAGTGAAAGCCTTTCCCCAGCGAAGATCACCCGTGGGGGCCAAGCTGCGAACAGCATTTCCCTGTGACCTGTTTAGTCTCAGCCCATCGGTTCGGATTCCTATTAGGGCTGGTAGCACTTCGCGGCAATGACTTTGGCCTCGGGGGGTTCCCTGTTTCAGTCACTGTTCTTCCTGAAGGCTGCAGAGGGCTGGCTGGTTTTGAGGAAACAAGGTAGGCTGCTGACGGCTTCCCAAAGGAGCCTTGTGTTTGATTTCGGGATCCGCGTGTGTGGGTTCGGAAACAAATCGGTGACTGGTGATGATTTTTACATCAACATGTTTTGTGATCACTAATTGCTTCTGAGAAAAATCAGAAATGTGGAAAGCAGCGCCGCCGAGACATTGTAACAGGTGCTGCCAGGGCCTTGCTTGATCCCCACAGCTCGTCCCCCCTCTGTGCGCGGGTGGCCACCTGCCAGCCCCAGCCCGGCTCTGCCTGGCGGCTTTCTTTAGTGGCAGGAGCCTGCTTTGCCGGGAGCAGGCCAGAAGTGCCATGGAATTAATGGCCCGGGGTGACCTTCACCCAGTGACCCAGTGGAGCTGGTGCACCCTCCGCCATTCCTTCCCTATGAGTCCACTCTGCTGCCGGGGTTCCCCAGGGATGAAGGCGCACGCCCATGGCAATAACCTGCTTAGCAACACTTCCTTTATGGGTGTCCTTCGGGTCACTATCTCACTGCCTCACTTGCCCAAGAGCGTCTCCTGGGGTCATACAAATACACGATTTGCACCAAATCCTTATGTCAGGCTCTGCTTCTGGGGAACCACTGTGACCAACTTGTCCCAATTTTCCTTGGATTGCCCCAGTTTTCAAACTGGAAAGTCCCACATCCTGGGACCTCCCTACCTCAGTCCCAGGCAAACTGGGGCAGTTGATCACCAAGTCAGGCCACACAGGCAAGCAGATCACTGGACCGCTAGTTCAAAGGTCAAGTATCAGCTTTGAGAACAAAAGAGCAGACACACATATAATTTTGCCGTATCGCCAGGTTCAAGTTTTTATGAGCTAAAAGCCTATATGAGAACAGTAGCCACCACTTACAAATAAGCCATTCCTTGGAGGACGGACACTCGTGCAGCCCCAGGGCATGATTTGCTAGTTATTGGTGCACTTTAGATGGCTGATGTCCAGGACTCCCACGATGTCTACCAAACTGGCTACTGGACAAAGAGGCGAGGTGTATTCCAAGAACAAGAAGTGTCACAGGCACCGTGGGGACATTGCGGGGGAGCAGGCAAGGGGACGGGTCAGCACATTATAGGCACTTGAGGCTCCGAGGGGGACAAGCACCGGCCATGCCACTGGAGCCAAAGCCACCTGGGCAAAGAGTGAAACTGCACTGCTTGCGTCACCACAGTTGACCACACAGGGACGAGGCGCTTTGCCTTGGGAAGCGGCAGTAAGCTCAGGACCACTGGCTCCGAGCCAGGAGGTTTGCAGCATGAACAGGAGAAACCTCACCTTGTTGGGGAACCTGGAGATGGTGCTGTCCAGAGGCTAAGGTCCCCAGGCTGGGGGCCAGCGAGTATGGGGGTTCAGGGAGCCCCATAGTAGGGGCTGGGGCCTGGCCACGAGATGCTGCCTGGATCCTGACCTCAGGGCAGACCTCTGCCGTGCAGATAATCCAGCTGCAAAACCCTGCCCACCCCCCTGCCTGGCTATTTTTACACTGGCGTGGGGCGCCCTGCAGATCGGGAACTCGCCCGTTCTTTCTTTGTTGGCTTCTCTAGTCCCTGCTAGATGGGTGGGGAGAAAAGCCCTCCCAAATGCCAAGGCAACGGACACACAGCCAAGAGAAGGGTGGCACTACCCTTCCCTTCCCCTTCCCAGGTCACCAAGGATGTGCAATGTGTGTGTGTCTGGGGGCCACTAGGAGACAGTCCAATATGCTGTAGTGAGGGGCAGCATTTGGACCAGGCAATGGCAGTGCTGAGGGTCCCACAGGTTCCCGCCAGGCAGGGGCACAGGGCAGCCCGTCGCCAGGGTGGGCTGCACGCAGATTGGGGGAGACCGCTTTTCCCAGTTCCTCTCAATGAGAGTCCCTGCCAGGGAAGAGAAGGGAGACAGTAGCCAAGAGAGGAAGAAACAGCCTTCAAATAAGGGTCAGGACTGAGGCGAAACCTCCGGCAGCCTTTTCTGACAGCGGTTCAGGGGAGCCAGCCGGGAGGCAGGAAGGGGAAGCCTTGCTTTCTCCACCGCCCGAAGACCCACCAGCATAGTCTGCGCCCCACCCCTTCGTCGGTCACAGCAGCGGAGGATGGTGATGGCATTCGTTTTGTCCACAGGCCAGGGACAGTTGGGAGAAAACACGTGCCGCTGGAAGCCGGTGCGGCTCATTTCCAAGACCAGCATCAGCCTGCCTAAGTGTGGGGCCCAGTTCCTCCAGGATCGAGCTGATCTCAGCAGAGGGGCCTCCGAGGGAGGCTGGTCGTGTTAGAAGAGGAGAGAGGCCCAGCAAGCACAGGTGACTTGTTCAAGGTCACCCAGACGATCAGAGCAAGTCCATGGTCACTAAGAAGAAAACAGCGCAGAGGCAGAGAATCTGGGGCAGCCAGAGTAGGGGGAAGCCCCCAGCTCCAGGGCACCCAGCAAGGGGGTGCCACTTGCTCAAACTAGTGCCAGGTGTGTGAGCCATCGGCCTGACAATCTTTCCATTAATGAGGGGCCAAGAGGGATTGCCATGGCCCTCCCTCCTTGCTTGGGCTGGGGCTGGGGCTGCATAGCTGCAGAAGTGTTATTTTGGTGGGGGAAGGCGGGGTATAGGGAGGTGACAAGGCTGTCCTCACACCTGCTAGAAGCCTGGAGCAGGAGAGCCTAATGCCCTTATGCGTCTTGGTGGTGCTGACTTTGAGCCAACACCCCCCGCTGGCATCCTGTCCTGCCTGGGGTTGTGCTACCACTGACTTGGTGACTGCCTGGTGGGTTCCTGCCCGGAGGGCGAGAACAGAACAGTCAGCAGCTGAGGGGATTTTATATTGTCTCCAGCCCTGTCCCCTCCCTTGGGGAGGGAGCCCCAGCTTTTTGTGAGAGCCTCAGAGGAGCTGGTGCAGAGGCGCCCCTGGGAGATTCTACAGCTGAGCAGGAGGTCAGGGAGGGCTCTGGGGGGGTGTGGGGTGTGGGGGGCAGGGTACCACTTCCACTTGGGGATGCCTTTTCTCCAGACCGGGGGTGTTCTGCTGGACCCCTTCCTTCCCTCAGCTCCTGCTGAACCCTGGGCACTTCTTGAGTCTTACTGAAGCTGAGACTTGCGCCAGAGTCCACAGTCCTCCACAGGCCAGTTTGATGTGTGGGACCCTCCAGATCTCCCAGGAGGGGGAAGTTTGTGCCAGGGCCGCAGGGCCCAATGGGACCATTGATGAGGCAAGATTAAGGCCTTGGAGAGAGAGGGGCGTGTGTGCAGATTCAGCCTGGGGTGCCTCGCTGGTGGGCTTCCTTGGTGAGGTCCAGACCTGCCTCCAGGGGAGTCTGTGGGGCAGAGACCACTGGACAGCAGACAGGAGGGACTCTGAGGCTATAACACAGATGTCACCACATGGCGTCACGAGGTGGGCCTGAGAGAGGGAAGTCCCCGGGACCTGTCTGCCTCGGAGCCGAGTCCTTCATTTCATTGAATATATATCAAGTCTCCCGGCTGAAGCTGCTGCCCCAGGTGCACTGCAGCCAGGCACGGTTCCCTGCTGCAGAGAAGGCCCCTCGCTCAGTGTGACATGGCTGGACAGTGCCCCCCTGCCCCAGAATGCAGCTGACCCGGGGAGCCTCTCCAGCCCCTCAGCACAAGTGGATGGAGTCTGCAGCTCGCAGTTCTTGAAACTGCGCAAATTATTTAAGGTGTCTGTTTTCTCCACTGACTTCTACAGCTACATCTATTCTTTTTGGGACTATTTTTGCACAGCCAGCCGCGTAATTCCAATACCTCGGCTTGCAGGGTGTCTCCCACTTGTCCTGCCCACACCCTCCTCTTAGGTAGGAAGTTACACATAATCCGCAACCAATACTAAAATACACAAAGGGCTTCGAGGCCAGAGCAAAGGGCCCTGGTGACTCTTCTATAAAGTGCTGGGAAGGATGGTTCTCCAGTTGGTTTGGAAGCAGGATTTGGGGGTTCTGGACTGTCAGTATGGAGACAATGCAGCAGGCAGAGGTAGTTTCCCGTGCCCAGCCGCAAGCTTGTACATCTGGTTATGTGTAGTTTTGGGGTTCGCTCATCTACCCATTGATTTGAGGGGCATTGCCCACATGGTGCTCATCCAAAGGGAACCCAGGCTTAAGTGTGTTTCCTCTCCACCCCCAGCAGCAGTAACCCCCCAGCAGTCCGTATGTCCAGGCAGAAAGGGGCTTTTGACCTTCTGGATATCTAGTCCAACTCTCACCTCACCCACTGCTTTTACAGGTAGGGAAAACTGAGGCCCGGACAGGGGACATGGTCTGGCCTTAAGTTGCACAGCTAGGTGGTAGCAAAGTTAGGATTGAATTCAGGCCTCTCGATGGCTGGTCTAGGGCTCTTTGTAACAACCACTCTATTGGCTACAGTTTCCAAAGCTCCCCGACCGGGCGCACAGGGTCCCTCCCTGTCCTCCCCTGTCCCAGCCTCCCTCTCCCGCACTACACGTAATTTGGGTTGTAGCAGAGCATATTGAACTCCAGGCTTTCGTCCCAGTGCCGCAGGAGCACAAACAGCTGGAGGGCGGCGGCCTTGAGCGTGTCCCTCGAGCGACCCTCGGGCACCTCCTGCTGCTCCAGCCACGAGTTGGCCTTGGCGGCCACCAGCTCCCACTCAACAAAGTAGGATGCCGAGCTGTGCTCCAGCCATGCCAGCGCCACCACCGTGGCCCACAGCTTCCCTGTGTGTTCTGTCACAGCTCTGAGCTCCCAGCCTGGCTTGTCCTCTCCCAGAGGCTCCTCAGAGAAGGTGTCACAGGAGGGGTGCCAAGGCGACGGGCTGGGGCACAGCTGGGGACTGGGGGTCTTAGACTCAGGCTGGCGGGCAGTGAGGGACACTCGATGGCAGGTGAAGGGTGAGGTCCACTTGAGCTTGTCCATAGGTATATGGATGGCCTCGCAGAAGGCTTGGTTGAGCAGGAAGGCTCCGGAGGCCAGCTGCAGAGACACCTGTGTATTGGGGAGCCCCTCAGTGGGCCTCAGACTTTTTAGCCTGTGGAGCCCCAGGCCGTGCAAAAGTCTGGGTCCACAGAGGCCACCATTCATCTTCCCCAGCTTGCCTCGCCTTCCTGGGGGATCTGCAGGGTACCCAGGCCCACTGAGCATCTCCGCCCCTCATCCCACCGGCCTTCAGACTGATCACTCTGCAAGCCCATCCCAACAGCTTCACTCCAAACCTGCCTCTTGTTCTGGGCAGCTGGGACCATCTCGGCCACTGGGACCATCCCCTGCCACCAAGTAGGCTCTGGGCAGCTCACCTCCCGCTTCTGCCCTCCATGCCAATCAGTTTCCAAGCTCCAAGGTCTGCTTTCAAAACACCTCTGCCACCCAGCATCTGCCTCCTGTCGTCTCTCCCCCTACTGTCCTCGCCGTCCCCACCCTGTCCACCTTCCCTGCATCCTGAGGGGTCTTTGCACGATCATCGCACTCTCTGGAGGCCATCAGTTCAGTGGCTTCAGTTTTCTCTTAGAATAAGTCCAAACTATGATTTCCAAAGCGCTGGTTCCTCCTTGGCTTTTCCCCCTCAAACCCCCTTCTCCAGCCACCTCTCTCCCTCTCCTCTCTAGGTCTCAGCTCAGCCATTTCATTCTTCAGGCAGCCAGGCTCCATTCCTCTCGTGGAGCAGGTGCCCCCTCCCGCCTTGGTCTGCCCACCAAACCCGAGCTCCTATCACAGAGCCCACGGAGCAGACTTGCCTGGTTCCTTGCCTGTGTCCCCACTAGGCACTTAGTGCCCTGGGCTCAGGGACTTTGTTCATCTAGCTCAAAGCTGTCTCCCAGGGTCCAGCACTGCGCCTGGCTAACGGATCCTTGCTGAGCCAGTGCCTGCACAGTGCTCTGTTGCCTGGATCTCTGGAAAGTTTCTGTGTGCCCGGGTGTGCAAGGACCGGAGCTGGCAGTGAAGCTCCAACCGTGTCCCTCCTCCCAGCGCCCTCTGCCCCCCACGCCCCACTGGTCCCAGATGCTCAGGGCCACACTCCCTTGCTCCTTGGTTCAGAGATTCCCACTCCACACCTGGGCCCCTCACCCTGCCACAGCGTGCTGGGGGTCTGCAAAGCCACTCGCTAAACACGTGCATGTCCCTGGGTGTGAATTTTACTCCTGAGAGTCATTCCAAGGCTTATTTTTATGTATTGGAAGACAGGCACACATAGATGGTGGCACAGAATGTAAAATTCCCTTGAATTTTTAAAAAGCAGATTGCAAAGAATTTTCATGATACTGATGCTGGCTTCTAGCCATACTCCTAGACCCTGGGCGGGGGACTCGTGCAGACCCCTCCACCCTGCTGACTATATGGGTGCAAAGGTCTAGGTTTTCTTCCCTTCGCCCAGGGGCGGGGTGGGAGGAGGCTCCCAGGAAGGCCCGTCTGTGGAGTGGCTGGGGCCTGGGGCACTCACCAGTGGGACGTAGTCAAGGCTCTGGCTCCCTGGCGTCGACTCTGGAGCCTTCGTCAGCGGCCTGCCCAGGAAGCCCTTGGCTGCTCGAGTCAGCAGCCTGGACTTTTTGAAAGTCAGCCTGTGTGGGTGGAGCCGGGAAGAGTGGCCACAGCCATCCCACTGGTGTCCCTGGTCATCCCACCCCCCAGTGCTCACTCAGCAGCCTCTGAAAGTCAGGTGGGGATCTGACAGGTGGCTTCTTCCGATCTCTTCATTTGACAGCTGGGGAAACTGAGGCCCGGGGGGGTGCATTTCCCCTAAGTCCCTCAGTGAGTTAGCAGTAACCAGGACGAGGCCCAGACTAGCATTCTTTTCATGGCCCTCTTTTGATAGCCTGTTTTTGTTCAGCCCAGTGGTCAGAGTGTCTCAGGCTGGCCCTCCCAGGGGGTTGCATTTGCAAACAGACCACGCTGTGGGAGAGGAGCCACAAAGGTGGGGTTTTCTGCAGAGGGACACCTGGGAGACAGTGATACCTGTGGATGGGGGGCCTTCTTGGCACCGTTGGGATTGCTCATTTTTGTCTGAATGTCAGGCCAGGCCTGCCTTTGGCCTTCCAAGCCGGGGACAGCCCCTGGGAGACGGGTGGCGCTAGAGTGTACTCGCAGTGGGAATCCCACGTACCTGGATCCGAACAGGGTCTCAGAAGCCTTCAAGGAAGAGACGGTGTTGGTAGCCAGACTGTGCAGGGGACCTGGAGAGACACACAGTGACAGCCGTTGCCTGACAGAGGACCCGGTTTAACACTCACTGCCCAGCTGGGGAAACCGAGCCCCAGGAGGGGAGGGGCTTGCCTGTATCCCTAGGGATCTGAGATGAACATTAGGCTGCAGGGCTGTTTCTGACCCAGTTGGTATGGGGAGGCATGAAATATATGGGTCCATGTGTAAGAAACAGGCCTCCAAGTTCCCCTGGCTGGTGACCCCAGGGTTTCTTCTGGAAGGTTACCTGTGGGGGCAGTGACAGCTTCATATCAAACCCCCTTGTCCCCAAGTGGGGACATCGTTTCCTTCCCTGGCACATTGCTGGAGGATTCTAGGCAGAGTGAGGTGGTGGAATGGTCCCTCAGCTAGGAATTGGGAGGCCTGATTCTAGGCCTGGCTCTGTCACCGGTTTGCTGTGTGGCCTCGGGCAAGTCACTTTACCTCTCTGAGTCTCAGTTTCCTTGTCTTTAAATTGGGGATATTCCTATTTACCTCTCACAGGGTTGCTTTGAGGAATAAATGAACCACTGAGGACCTTGTTGGGCCAAGACACTCTCCTGGCCCAAGGGTCAATCCCTAGCACTGTCTTCATTAAGGAGAGAGCCGGCTGACCGTCCACTTACCCTCAGAAGCAGCGTACTTCCCGCGGCCGGGGGACGTGGTCTCGCTGGAGGGCTCAGGGGGGCTTTCCTCGCCATCTACAACAGAGCAAAGCCAGTGAGGCCCAGCTCCCCTGGCTCTCCCTCTCTCACCTCCCACCCTCCCAGGAGAGTGATGGCTGAATCCACAAGACCTGGGAGGGGCTGGGAGAGCAAGGTCAGGATTCCACCCTATTTGAATGGGCCTTCGTCTTCCAAAGATACAACCATGGCTCCACCACAGGAGTCAGGATGCCTGTGTTCGAAACCCAGCTCCCTCATTGACTGGCTGTGTGACCCTGGCAAAGTTACTTCCTTCATGAGTTTTGACTGCAACTTAAAGATAATAGTACCTGTCTCACAGTGTTGTAAGGATTCAATGAAATAATACACAGATAGTGCTTAGTGCTTGGCTCATAGTAAGTGCTCAATAAAACCCTGAGCTACAGACCCATCAGGGAAGAGGAGCAGGTCAGGGGCTGAGGGTGGGAGTTGGGGGTGGGGGGAGAAGTGGGCATGAGGCACCAGATCTGTGCTCGCTGAGGAGAGGCTAGTGCCAGCTCTCTAGGAGGCACCAGAACATGGCACTGACTTGTCAGAGGGCTCTGATCCTCAGTTTCCTCATCTGTAAAATGGGGGTAATAATTGCACATAGTTTGTTCAAAATGTGTAAGTGGGGTGTTATTCTTAGGATTATTATTTCAAGAGGTGGAGAGTTATGGGCAATGTGCTACAAAAGAACAAACCGAATTATGGAAGGAGCTTCATGCACAAATATGTCCATCAGAGCCTCTGGTCCCCTGTGAGACCATCAGCAGCTCTGTGAGGGCCAAGGAGCTCTGTTTATCATTGGGTGCTTGGGGTGGGGTGGGGCAACCTGGGAGTGAGCTAGGGACTGAATGCCTCAGGCAAACAGCATGGTGATTAACACTCTGGGCTCTGGAGCCAGACACTGCCTGAGTTCAAGCCTGGGCTCTACCATGTATCAGCTGTGTGATCTTGAGTAAGTCACTTAACCTCTCTGGGCCTCAGTTTTCTCATCTCTTCATGGGGACAATAAGAGATGATTACGAGGAGCCATGGATAATTGGGACAGTGCTCGGCACACGGGAAACTCTTAGTACCTAGGGAGGGAAAAGTCTTGGGATAGAATAACAGCCTAGAAGTCACAGACACTTGAGTCTGAATGAGAGGACAATTGAAAAGAAGGGATCTGTGATTTTGATGGAAGCTGTGGGCCACGGAGAGTTGAACTACAGAGAAAGGAAGAAATGTTCTTTAGACCGAAGGCTCAGCATGGCTCAGGGATAGAGCAGGTTCCCCAGCTTTGGAGGCTCTGAAGGAAACAAAGAGCTGGCAGAACACATTTTAGAGTTCCTCCACCCCCTCACACACTGCTCCTCTTTCAAGCCATCAATGTCTGTGAGAACTTTCTAGTGGCGGGATCTGGGCGTCTGGGCTTGTGGCCAGGTGGGACCTCTAATGTCCTCCCTGCGCTCAGAAGGTAGGAGATCCTCACTGCCCACGGGGGCATGAGGCAAGGGCTTAGGACGAGTGCAGCAGTCAGGCTGCCATTAGAGGGATAGAAAGACATGTAGACATTCAGGACACAGAGTTAAAACCGTCCTGTGAATTAGTGCAGAGTCACTAAAAGGCCAAGTCATGGGTCCTCAGGGACCCAAGCTGCGGGCACAGTGCAGTCAGGTGCAGGCGGAATCCCGAACGAAGCAGACGGAAGGGCCCAAAGAGAGGGACCTGCCTCTTTGCTCTTCACGCTCCCCCTGGTTAGTAGGTGTCCTGGAACTTGGTGCCTGGGAGGACTCAGGGGCTGAAGGAAGGGAGCCGGCTCCCGCAGGCTCTCAGCAGCGCGGTGTGAAGGGAGGCAAGCTTGGGCCATGCTTGGGTTAAGACAGATACCAGGTCCCCGAACCTCCCAGACTGTGGCTACAGATGCTAGGAGGATGGGTGGGAGGGACAGATGTCCTGAATAAGCATGTCGTTCAGGACGACAATGCCCAGCGAGTGAGAGAAAGGCACCCCTCTGCCCATCTCAGGCCTCGCCCTGGCCCTGCAAGGGCCCACAGCGCAGACTCAGAGTGAGGCCTCCAGGGTCTTGGACATGAGGATGCCATGACTCAGGACCTCAAGCTCCAGGACACACCCCAGGTGGCTCTTACTTAGGTTCTGAAATTTGCCAGGTCCTGCTGCCGAGTCCTCCCCGAGCATGCTCTGCGACCGTCTGAAGCCAGTAGAGCTGCCCCTCCACTGTGGGGTCAGGACCCGAGAGCTGGCCATCCGGAGCGCAGCACCTTCATGAGGACAGGAGAAGGGGTCAGGGGGGTACAGGAGTGCCAGTCCTTTGCCTCCTCCCCAAGGCTGGCAGGAAGGGTTCTGACTTCAGTCTGTCAATCATCCAAAGACAGGAAGGCATTGCCCAAGGTGAGACCATAAACTTTGGAGCCGGAATGACCTGGGTTTGAACCCCAGCCTCTTCTTTTAGTAGCTGGATGGGCTGTTAACCACTCTGAGCCTCAGTTTCCATATTTGGGAAATGGGACTAATACCTACCTTGCCAGGTAAATACTGCTAATGACATAATGTTCAAAAAGCACCAATGTTTTCCAGGTAATTAAAAGGCTGGTTTTCTCAGGAACACCCCATTGCCCTTTCCCAGTTTGCTGTCTCAGAGACCCAGGGCCCACTCCCCCTGCCACAGGCAGGTCCCTGAAGTCCCAGGGCATCACCAAGGGGGGATGGATGGAAGAGAGATGAAGCTGGGATTCACAGCACCCAAGCGTGTTTTGGGAACCCCACTCTAGGAGAACACTAGTCTGTTAGTTACCCTTTAAAAAACAAAGAGTTCTATTGGGAAGTAAATTTTGGAGATGCTGCATACTGCATAGTCCATCCTCTGAGCCTGCGGATGTACAGTGACATCCTGAAGGCCCCGAGAAGAAGAAAGCTTCTGCGCTTGATTTAGTTCAGTGGTTCCTAAATGTTTCCTCCTGATCTGGTATTTCCTATTTTTAAAAAATGATTTAAAATTGATTTTGAGAGAGAGAGAGAAACATCGATCAATCAGCTGCTTCCTGCAAGACCCCTACTGGGGGACCCAGCCCACAACCCCGGCATGTGCCCTGACAGGGAATCAAACCAGCAGCCTCTCAGTGCCCAACTAACCGAGCCACACCGGCCAGGGCTGGTATTTCCTATTTTTGTGCTGAATGGCCATTAATGGGACAGGGAACTAGGGTTCTAGTTTCTTGGAACGTGCTTTGGGAAGTGCTGATCCAGACCTTAGGGACGGGGGGACTTGGGTTAAGAGAGATGCCAGGTCCCCGAACCTCCCAGACTGTGGCTACAGATGCTAGGAGGATGGGTGGGAGGGACAGATGTCCTGAATAAGCATGTCGTTCAGGACGACAATGCCCAGCGAGTGAGAGAAAGGCACCCCTCTGCCCATCTCAGGCCTCGCCCTGGCCCTGCAAGGGCCCACAGCGCAGACTCAGAGTGAGGCCTCCAGGGTCTTGGACATGAGGATGCCATGACTCAGGACCTCAAGCTCCAGGACACACCCCAGGTGGCTCTTACTTAGGTTCTGAAATTTGCCAGGTCCTGCTGCCGAGTCCTCCCCGAGCATGCTCTGCGACCGTCTGAAGCCAGTAGAGCTGCCCCTCCACTGTGGGGTCAGGACCCGAGAGCTGGCCATCCGGAGCGCAGCACCTTNGGGGCTGAAGGAAGGGAGCCGGCTCCCGCAGGCTCTCAGCAGCGCGGTGTGAAGGGAGGCAAGCTTGGGCCATGCTTGGGTTAAGACAGATACCAGGTCCCCGAACCTCCCAGACTGTGGCTACAGATGCTAGGAGGATGGGTGGGAGGGACAGATGTCCTGAATAAGCATGTCCTTCAGGACGACAATGCCCAGCGAGTGAGAAGGGCCAGTGGAGCAACAGCCTGGCTGCTGGCCAGAGCCCGAAATGAGAACAATGATGATTATAAACAAAAAGAGTGCGGGGCACAGGAAAAATGACGAAAGGCACATTTTGTTTCCAAACAATTCTTTCAGGAGGTCCGCCAAAAAAAAAAAAAAAGAAAGAAAAGAAATTACAAAGGACAGGAAAATGTAATTCAGGGAAGGAAGAGTACATATAGTTCACAAATACGTGAAAAGCATCTCACAAAAAAACTGAAAACTAAAGAAATTCCCCAAAGAGAGTCTTTCGTCACCTATCAGACTGGCAGGCTTTAGAGAGAGAAACCACAGGCAGGATGTCGGGGTGGCCATCGGAATAGCCTCTGGGGCCGGGCCAGTTTGGTAACATGCAGCACTTTTAAATGGGCGATCCTGATGTGCGGTCTTACTTCTGAGAGTTAATTAACCCTGAACAGATAACCAGACGGGTGCGCAAAGATGTTCTTGGCAGCATCTACGATAATCTAAAAGGGAATAAACTGAAGGTCTAATAACGGGGGCTGCGTCAATCGGTTCTGATATACCTTAGGGGGCAGCGGAGAGGGGCAAGGTGAGCACAGGCTCTGGAGCCAGGGCCCTGGGGTTCAAAGCCTGTCTCCGCCCCTTACTGCTGTGTGACCTTGGACAAGTTACTTAACCCCCTCTGCCTCTGTTTCACTGTCTTTAAAATGGGGGTAACAGTATGTGCCTTGCAGAGCTGTTCTGAGGATTGAATGACTATATGACGCCTTGCACACTGTCTAGTTGACTATTACGATGATGGCGTTTTTCTGCAGCGGAAGAGGCTGCAGCTGTTAAAATGATGACACAGTCACGTTCATGGAAAGATCTTTCCCACACCCGTATTTCGTAAGGTATAGCACACCTTGGTCTGGCAAAGTTCGGTTTTTTGATTTCTCTACATGTAGATATCCATAGAGAGCAGTCTGGAAGGACGGTCCCACCAGGAGGTAATTAAGTACTCATTTCTGGATGACTGTCACTTCCAGTCACTTATGTTTATTTTCTGTCTTTCTATATTTTGGAATTTTTTTTTTTTATATCTTTATTGATTTCAGATAGAGGAAAGGAGAGGGGGAGAGAGAGGTAGAAACATCAATGATGAGAGAGTCACTGATCGAGCCCACAACCCGGGCATGTGCCCTGACTGGGAATCGAACCCTGATCGCCTGGATCCTAGGTCGACGCTCAACAGCTGAGCCAAGCCCGGCCGGGCTATATTATGGAATTTTCTACAGTGAGCATGTGTCATTGTCCTAACTGGAAAAACTCAGTGAAGTCATGTTTATTTGGTAGGAATAAGGGAGTGGAACGGTTTCACAGCCTTCTGCAGAGCAGTGGGATGCGGCTCGTGTGCCCCGTGGTGGCCAAACCATCCACCGAGGGGCAGCGCTTTTTGCTTCTAGGCCCTTCCTTGCACCCCTCCCTGCAGCTCCAGCCGCTTCCTCCAGCCCATAGGAGGGGGGTGGCTGCCTGGCTGCCCATCTGCCTTACCGGAGCTGGGGTAGGCCACCACGGTGGGCAGGTACTGCTTGAGGCTCACGTCCACAGGCACGTAGGCGGTGTACTTGCTGATGACGTTGCAGGCCTTGCTGGTGTGCACGGCGTTCACCTGGTAGCGGCGGCTGGACCCTGCGGAGGGGAAGCTGGGGTCACCGTGTGGACTCAGAAAGTTCTCTCTGACACAGAAGCTCTGGAAGCCAGAAGGAAGGCTAGACCAGTGGTCCCCATCGTTAGGATTAAACAAGTCCTTCAAATCAACTTGCCGATTACAGACATAAAAAAAAACACCCCAAGATTATTATCTTCCATTATCATTTCATAAAATAAGGACATTTTAATGTAAAAGAGGTAAGATATCTAAGCATAAAAAAGATAGTTACTTCCCTTAAATAACTAGTGTTATTAAAACAACCAAAGCCCTCTGTGTTGTCTGTATTTTCTAGTTTCAGTTTGTAGCTGTCTGATGAGACTCTTGCTGCAGGACTTCATAGCCTTCTGGCTGAGTGCGGACCACTGGTCCTGCCCATTGGACAATTTTGCAGAGAAGCTTGGAAACCAGAGAGGGAGAGTGGCGAGCACAGGGTCACACAGCGAGTTAGTAATGGACCTGAGATGGGGACTTAGGATGGTCTCATCCCAAAGCCCAAGCTCTTCCCACTAACAGGTTAGCAGCCTCTGTGGCTTGCCACCTCCAAAAGGCTGTGTGGGAGCCAAGGACACGAAGAATGGACACGTGTTGTAAACTGTAAGGTGAAGTGCTCATGGGGGAAATTATATTATACAATGTTAAAATAAAAACCAAACAGAGACCAGCCTTGAAAATTCCCTGAGCAGACAAAACCAGTTTAGTTATACAAACAAAGTTTAATTTAGCTCATTTTGCAAGACTGGCTTGACCTGGGTCATTTTTTGCTTCTGCCTCTGGAACTTGAACTGTTTCCCAAGGTTAATAGAAAGTAACCACTGAAGATTCTAATATCACAACCAATCACCACGAGGAACTAACTGTCACTGCTTCCTCACTCTGTAAGCTGCGTCTGATAACATACCCCTGAGCCTCATTCCATGTGTTGCTTTGGGTGCTCTCGATTTGCAAACGGTCTTTTTGGTGTGTGCACAATAAACTTTTACTAACTACTACTTCAGTGATTCATTGGTTTTACTTCTGTTATTTCTGAAATGTTCACAACAATACAAATAATATAAAATATAAAGCCACATTATATAAACATTAAAGCATAGACTATAATAAATAATAGAAATATTCTCTATTTATATCTATATCTAGCAATTCTTCAAGTGAACTCCATCAGGATCCCAGGAGTCACTTTTTAAGTAAAGTTTGCCCCAATTACTGAACTAATTTTAAATGAGCTCCCCCACCATCCTCATTACACAATCCCTTGAATCCCTGTATTTCTTTTTAATAGCACTTAGGCCTAATGCAGTCAGTTAACTGTGTGTAGACTTATTTGATCAGTGTCTGCTTTCCTGCTGGTCTGTGTCCAGCGCTGCTAAGGAAGGGCAGGGATGTGGTGCCGGCCTCAGCCCCAAGCCTGGCCGCCAGCTGACCCGCACTCAGTAAGAGGCGCTGATGAGTGAGGGAGCGGACCCGCTAGGTCTAGGGGTTCCGTGGGAAGGTTGGGGTGGCCCCAGAGGAGCAGGGCAGGGGGAATAGAGCTGTTCTCATTTTTCTGTCTCAGAAGGCGCTGTAGGGAGAAGCCTTGGAAGAGAGGAGGGGTGGGGGACCGGTAGCAGAGTGGAGGGGAGAAGGGGGACCGGTAGCAGAGGGGAGGGGAGA